ATTACAAAAAAAAAAAAAAAAAAAAAAAAAAAAAAGAGAGAGAGAGAGAAAAGAAAGAAAAGAAAGAAAGAAACAAGTACTGACATGTTAACTTCTGAGGTTTTCACACTGTGCGTTTGGTCACCTTTATAGACTTCTCTTTAGCTCTCTTTCGCTAGAGACAGACAGACAGACAGAGGAGCATCCGCAGTAGGGCTGGTGCTGTGATTCCCCCCACTGTCAGTTAGCTGAGGTCACAGACGTGTGCTCATGCCACTGGCGTCTCAAAGAGGTCCCAGAATAGGAACCCAGGGCCTTTCCCACTCTGCTCTAGCTGCTTTAACACTGTGCTACCACCTGGCCCCTAGCTTAAATATTCTTGAAGAATAATTCTCCTGAACTTTTCCCAAAAATACCTTCTTTGGCTACTCCACTAACTACAGCCTTTTTTTTTTTTTTCTTGGTCCTTTCTTAATTTTTGTTTTTCTCTCAGTGTTGGTTCTTTTTTTTTTTTTTTTTTTTTTTAATTTATTAAGAGATTTTTTTGCTGTAGGGCACATGTGCTTTGCTGGAAAGACAGAAAGCAAGAAATCACTCCCTGGGGGGGATGGCCACTCTACAATCTCTTTTCTTCATTCTCTTCTCAGGGTCTTAGGCACGCACGCACACGTGCCTAGCATGACTTTTAAGCTGCCTGGTACAGGACTCACACCGTGGTCAACTACATGGGAGTCCAGTGACATAACCATTAGGCCATCTCCTGGTCCCCAGGTGCTGTATTGAAAAGCAGATGTGAGCAGACCAAACTAAGAATAAGATCGTCGATCTCAGTTTTGCCTTCTTCATTGCTATTGTTGTTTTCCTAGCCTTCATCCTGGAGACCTCTACCCTTTCACCAGGAAGCCCTTGTTCATCATTGTGGACTCGTCCAACAGTGTCGCGTACAAGGTGAGTCCCCTGGGAGCTGCTGCACTCCTGAGACGTCCAGCACCAACGCCAGGGTACCCTTCCTACATGTGCCTTTCTATCTTGCTTTATGCTGCTTAATTTTGCAGTTTGTATTTA